TTTTAGTTTGTAAACTATCGTAGAATGTGAATTTTGATGGTTTTTGAACTTTGATGGTTTGACACTTTTGACAGCTTTAGTCTCAGTTGTACAGCCAATCAGATTATTTGAACCATTCTAACAAGGATTCTGATTAGCTTATTATAGCGTGCTTTATGAGAGTATAGAGCATGCTGACGACATTGTTGTTCGCTTTGGAAATAAAGTTTGTTTTGAAAATTGAAAGTAATGCTTGGGTAATTTAACGGATTCTTTATTATAAAACAAATAGAGAAGCCTTGACTGTGCTCTGTTCTGTTATAAAGCACTTAGGAAGCGGCTAGAGCACTCAAGAAGTGGGAAGAAACACTCGACTACGTCTCGTGTTTCTCCCTACACTTCTTTCGTGCTCTAGCCGCTTCCTGCGTGCTTTATAACAGAACAGAGCACAGTCAAGGCTTCTCTATTTGTTAACTCAACAATTGCCACTGGGGTATGGAATTAAGTTGACTAATAACCTGTATGTCTGTTTTTCTTTCAAGGTTAGTCAAAATCCACAAGACTTGTATAAAACTTGTGCATCCTGGTCACAAAAATACTGAAAATACAGGCAATTCAGTACAAAATCATTGCTTAGGCTGTTGTAAATGATGAACCATTGATAACAGTTCTCATAGCTAAGTCAAAACCTGGATAATTTTGGAAATACTTTGGAAACAACGCCTTGTTGCTAACATCAGCACAAGATGCTTTGGACAAGGCAGCTTTCAAGTCCCCAGTTGCCAAGTACCAGTAAACAGTTGGTGACAAGTAAGTAAACCCAGGTCCACCCTGGGAAATAATTCTCCCTAAAACTTCAAAGAAACCGTTGACGACAAGCTCATTGCTGAACACTGGTACTTTTCTGTATACTTCTCCAATGAATATATGTTGTATACCTTCATTGTTATCCAGCACTGAAAAGACTTCACTTAACACTTGTCTCAGTACGAGGCTGCTTCATTCTCTCAAAAAAGATCTTTATCTGGATATCATCTGCACGAAGCTGCTACGCTGTTCCTGTAGCTTGCTGCCGAAGGAACTGTGTGATTACTACCGGCAAGGAAAAAGAAAAAATCGGCCGAGCAATTCGGACTCCCTCAAGAAATCTTTAGGGAGTAAGGAATAATCTCTCTCGTTTATTCCAACAGTTTATTTCTTCCCGTTGAAACACAGGCTCCATTTCCATTACAAGTCGCAGGTGGGGAAATGAGGCCGCGCCTACCAGGCCAAACCCGAAAAGAAAGCGGATATCAAGCAAAACGCTATAACATGTTGGGTAAAACAAACTAATTTTAGAAAAAGATTAGTACTTTCTCAGTAATGACCCAGTAATTCCAATCAGTTTTTCTCCTGCTTGCAACATACCCGAATTTTACTCGAAGCGTTCATTCTGTTCATATCTCGCTTACAACCTTGGTTAAGCCCACTTCTTTGACTCATGACGCGACCTTCCAAAATTACAGCTATAGCTACTATCGATGTCGATATATATTGTAACATTTTGACAGTACACGAAATCATTTTGTGCAGAGAATATCAGCATAGAGGTTATCTTTTCGAAATTCACAAAACCAACACCTAGCCTCCGATTGGTTGTCTCAACAAGAAAGAGAAACCAACAAAATGATAATGGTTTACTTCGCTATTACGCTGAACTAAGGAAGATGACGCAGGAAGATATATCCAACTGAATTGATAATTTAAATTAAGAGTTCAAGTCTTGATGGGCTCTTGAACCTCACAATCAAACCCCACTCCGCCGCTTCGCCCCACCCCCCTCTCCCCATCCCACCCCCATAAAGATACCAGAATCATAAGACAAGCCAAGAGAATATTCTCTTGGACAAACTTGTAAGGAGCACCCACGAAAATAACATGGAGAAAATATAACTACGAAATTTTCCATGCAGCATTTAGGTCGGATATAAATTGTACACCTCCAGGTAACCACTAACCCGACAACTCAACGGTTACCTATAGTCGGAACGAAAAACGAAAGTTAATACATTTGGACGTATTTAATCTCGACTTTCGTCAACATAATGGCTTTCACCTCTCCCATCCCACTCAACTCTACCCTGTTTATAGGGTAGTTTAATCTGATCTAGGAACATGGCCATTTTCTCAAATTAACGAAGATGCGGTTCTGTAATCCTCTAATAATCAATCAAGCGACCTAACAATGTTATAGGTGAAATGCCGTTGGTGCAGTGTCATAGTATGTCTAACAAAAAAAAACGCGATATTTTTGGTGTTTATTTCATCGTAAAAGGATAAATTTAGGTTAGTTGACACTAGGATCCACGCGGCGAAGTCTGTAAACAAGTCTAAAATAGGGAAGATGAAATAAGAAGATAGATCCAAATAGATCATGTGATGAATTAAATTAGTAGTTCAGGTCATGTTATGCTGTGGGGCCACACAACCAAACCCTCCACCCCGCCTCTCTCCCCCCATAAAAGGCTACCAGAATCATATGACAAACTTGTGAGCATCCGTACCCACGAAATTGGAAACAGCATGAAGAAAATTTGTCTGTACCATCACGTAATGAGTAGGAAAACAAGTCGACTCTGCGAATACTGCCATTGCACGAGAAATATCCGACCACAACGCGGACTCTAGGAAAAAACTGACGGAAAGAAAAATTTCCAAATCTATATATATTCAAGTCTGAAGTAGGGCAGATGAAAGCGGAAGATAGATCCAGCTAAACTGATGAGTTAGATTAGGATTTTAGATCATATTAGGTCATAATATGCTGTTGGGCCATACAACCAAACCCTCCCCTCGCCCCACCTCCTCCCACCCTCATAAAAACATAACAGAATCATGATAAACTTATGAGGTGCACCCAAGAAATTGCGTGGAGAAAATTTGCCTTAAACTTGTTTTTACTGTCGAATGATACCTAAGAAAACAAGTTAACTTGCGAATATTGTCATTTCCCAAACAAACCCGACGAGAACGTGGCCTTTGAGAGAAAACTTACGTAAATAACGGTCACGGGTTTCCAAATCTATTTACATTCCCGTCACTGATTGCGTTTTACTAGATTGTTAACAACAATATTAACATGCACATAAATTGCCACCACCCGTCTATAGCGTTCCTGGACGGAAAAAAGAAAAAAAATTCAAAGATTACTTACGTAACAATAGAACCTTCGAAAAGGAAAAACGTCTTTATCTGTCTTGACCCATGAATTTTTACCGAAAAAAATCACTCACTCGTGAAACGGTTTGTTTAGCACAATATATGTCAGTATCCAAATACAGCGATTGTAAACTAGGGCCAGAGCAAAGTGATGCCAGTTTCACAGCCATCTACTGAAATAAAGGTAGAAAAGTAGAACTAGCCTAAAATGATGTTAGAAATTGAGAAACCTAAGAGTCATTACATAAAAGAGGCGAGAACAAGTCCTAACAAATCCCACATAATTTAAACGAAATATTTCCACAAACCACCATGACGATGATGCAATATCCTGTCGACGCCTCCAATCACGCCCCCTTCGATCCACCAATCAAAAATTTTTGGCAATAAATGCTTAGCGAACAAAGAAGGTTTTGGACTTTGGCCAGATGCCGTCTCACAAATAGTTATAAAGTGTTTTATGGAGAGGATAGAAAAGTGGAACACTGTATTTGCCCGGGTACACAGAAGGCTAGCCCTATTCTTTTTCGAAGGGTCGCCCAACGTAAACGTGGAACAAATATTATGATTCAACAAAAGACTTATCTCTTGGTCACGCTACCGTTTATTTACAATGAGCGAATCAACGATCTCTAAATTTTTTCGTGTTTTACCGGTCGCAAAGGAAACGAACTTCACCTCTAACTCTGTTACAACGAGTTTGTGACCTCGGAGAATTGCCACGAACAGAGAGAACTATTTCGATTTTGACACCATCCTCGATCTTCCGTGCGTTCTCTCGCTTTCGCTTAAAATTTCAGGTGGTCTTCTGCTGTAAACTATAAAGATGCACAGCAAACCAGGACAGAAAGAACCTAGCATCTCGATTAAGTTCGTAAGCGCCGGATTAGCTGCTTCAGTGGCTGAAGCCGTCACAATACCGATCGACACAGCGAAAGTTCGACTTCAGGTAAGTGACTTTTAAAACAAATTGCACGTTGTTGGTTTGTTAGGATTGAAAACAGAACATGTCAAAATGAGACGCCAATATGATTGGTATTTTACACTTATGAATACTATTTTTAAGCTATTAGAAGTTTCCAGTCATTAAAATAATATATTGTATCTTCTGCTATCCAAGCGAGGTCAATACACTCGACATGGCAGCTGGTCTAGTTATAAATTTTAACCTCATAAATAGCCATCGCTTGATCGTCAATCGATTTTCATTGATAGTCACCTTCGTAAAGTTTAAGTTAAAATAATTGCGAAATTATCAATGAAGTTTATAAATGTTTCTTAATACAATGCTTTCAAATCGATGTGTTCTAGTTAAATACAGGTGATGCAATGTCATGTGGAATAAGAATCTCGAAATTTCCGCACAGCCCCATCCTACATTATGCATTCAGTTCTTGGATAGAGAAAACAATGACAAAAAAAATACATTGCCATCGAGAAAACAGATTTGTTTTACAACAGTATGGGGCTGTGCGGAAATTTTCACTGAACCTCTAACGTAATGAGACAGTCAGTGTGACGTGTCGCTCTCATTACAACCTGCAGACGGCAATCACGTTTCTTGTTTCGAAAACAACATTTCCCTTTCGCCTTTTGTCGTTTAAAAGAAATCCATACAATGGTTTAATAGTTAAGATCAACGGGACGAAGTTTCCTTTTATGGTGGTGCGTAGCAGCGGGAGGAAGTGATTATAATTTTTTTGACAACTTGTTTATAACAACCAAGTGTGCAATCCCTCGAGACAAAAGCGGAAATTTAATCATTCAAAACAACTTCTCCATAAGCCTTGATTATAACACGAACGGAAGACATAAGATTTCCAAGATCTGATCTCTAACTCTCCCTTCTGTTTCGGTTTTTAGTTCTTTTTAATTAGTTAATCCTTTCAATCCCAGGAGTGCCCAGAGATTAATTTCCCCTCGCGATATCATATTACATACATGACTAAGCAGAACGGTGTTGAGAAGAAGGAAAAATAATAAGTAGAAAATACAGTTATATTTCAACACCAAATCCTAAGATCTAAAGGTAAAAGAGATGCATGGTAGACAGTGAGAAAAAAATATTTTGAGTTCTTGCAAGTGAAAGGGGTTGAAAAGAAGTTAGTATTGAAGTTTACCCCCCCCCCCCCCCAACATCCTCCAAAAGTCATTGGTAAGAAGACCTGAAAATGAGTTTTTTGTGGACAGCAATTTATACATTTCAACAATTTGAAAGCAAGTAATCATCACTGATGACAAGGTCTTTCTTAAGAAGTGAAAAGAAGGCCTGATCTTTCCACAGATATCTTCAATAAATTATTTCACTTCTTTGCAGATCCAGGGTGAAAATGCTGTCTTGGCAAATGTTCAAAATGGCGTAGCAACAGCAAATTCTAATGTCCAATATCGAGGAATGATAGGGTCCATGATAACTGTGGCAAAAACTGATGGTTTTCGCTCGCTGTACAAAGGGCTTGTGCCTGGAATTCACCGCCAACTTTGTTTTGCTAGCATTAGAATAGGACTCTATGACACAGTCAAAAACTTCTATGGAGATGATGATGTCAACAATCCTAAAGTCATAAAGAAGATCCTAGCCAGTTGCACAACAGGAGTGTTAGCTGTATCTGTTGCTCAACCAACAGAAGTTGCTAAAGTAAGGTTTCAGGCCGATGGTTCAAGATTTGGGTCTAGCAAGGCCTTAGATGCTTATATATCAATATTCAAAAATGAAGGACTCCGAGGACTATGGAAAGGTGCCTTTGCAAATATGGCACGCCTTTCCACTGTGAATGCTTCAGAACTGGTTGTGTATGACATGGTAAAAGGATTCTTTCTGAGAAAGAAACTCATGGATGATGAATTCCCTCTGCATTTTGTTTCTGCCTTTGGTGCTGGCTTTGCTACCACAGTGATAGCATCTCCTGTAGATGTGGTGAAGACACGTTACATGAATTCCCCACAAAATACTTACAAGAGTGCCATCCACTGCGCCTATATGCTGCTGAAACACAATGGGCCTCTAGCTTATTATAAAGGGTATGTTGCGCTGAAATTTGTCTCTAATACAACAATGACGTTTTTATTAGTATCCAACTGCACCAAGTTGAGTACAAATAATGCTTTAATTGATTACAAATATCCTATAATATTGGACAGTTGCTTATTTTGTACAATAAAAAAAGCTGTTTAACTGGTCAGCTGTTCACACTATGTTGTTCTACCTGCTTCACTTTTTCCACTTTTTAAGAAATTTGCATGAAATAAAGCAGTTGGTTAATGATTAACTTGTTAGATTTTTAATGTGTATTTCTGTGTATTTTTACTCATTGTTGGTATTATAACTCGCCCTGCAGGGGGTTGTCAAAATAAGGCAAAACTTGTGAAAATATGTAGTGATAGTACACACCTACTGAACATCTAATATGTTTAATTTATTTCACACCCAGTCTCTAATAAGGTCATAGCTTGGAGCCTGTTGAGATATCCAATTATCCCTTCACTCATTCATCAGACTGAAATTTCTGGCCAAGCACCTTAAAATTATGATACATTTGTTGACAGCAAGATATAACATTCAGAAACATGTAGAATTTCAGAGCTTAATTTGGTCAGAGATGTCAGTGTCTAACCACACTTGACCATGGTATTACTTTATGTGATTTTATACCTCATTTGAGAGAGAGGCCAGATTTTCAATATGAAATGTGGTAGCAAGAGAAAAGCATAACAGCAAGATACTACATGTGGCTTTATATCTGAAAAAAAAATTGGCTCACATCATTAAAAAATAGTCAAAGAGTGCTGTGTAGTAGCCAGGCCCCAGTTTTTCAAAGTTTGGATAACTCTATAACCCTATCCACTGGATAAAACCCTATACAAAGGATAATGCTATCCGTTTTGCTATCAAGTATCCACAAGTTAGCAATTTATCTGTTGGATAGCATTATGCGACCTTTATACAACTGGACCCAGATAATTATCCTATCTCAGATGGCCAATGAAAAAGGAGGTTGCAACTAGTGGGGAGAGTTGCAAATCAGATCATGGGATTTAACAAGTTAACATATATTTAAATTTACTTCTTTGTCTTAAACCATAGAAGGAACAACAATCACAATGGACTGAAGCTAAAAGTTCTAATGTCCCATTAATAATTACTAGGATAATCAATCATTATGACTTTATTAAATATGAGTTTTTCCTCATTTCTCTTTTATTTTATTTCAGGTTCACACCAAACTTCACAAGGCTTGGATTATGGAATATTGTTATGTTTATGTGCTATGAACAGTTGAAGAGGCTGTTTAGTTCTTTCTCTTCAGAACACTGATGATGGCTTTTTTCTATTTAAACTGGATACATATTTATTATGTATTTCTATGTTTTTCATTTGGTGTCATAAACACATTTTGACCATTTTGCACTTGCTTAATGAATCTTCAGGATTCCGATTTTGAGCATAATAGGAAAGGGGATTGGGTGTGCTATATAGCAATAATTGATTGAAATTGAATCATTTAAATTGAGCAATGATTTTGACTCTAATAGAGTTTGATGCCGACTTTAATTTGCAACTAGTGCAAAGATGGGGATGCAGCAGATCAATTACATGTACTTGCACCAAGGGATGTAATATCGATTTCTTGCTCATTTGCAAAGGAGCAAAATGAAACACATGGACACAGACGTGAACATGTTGAGTTAATGACAAGTTGCAATGAATGGGTTGGTTTCAATCCAGAAAGTGTTGCAAAGGCACATTATGTTAAGGTATTTTAAATACATTTTAAGAGAAGGCTTCCAAGTCACAAAATTCTTCAAAAGTTTAAGTAAGAAATTTGCAGAATATTTTCTGTAACGTCAATTTCAATGAATTTGCAAATCAGAGACAAAAAATTATGACTTAAACTCCCAACAAACATCTTGTTCATTGATTTCCATTATTGGTTGTATAAAAAGTTGATCTGCATCCTCAACCAATCAATTTGATTCAAACAATGATATTAGCAAATGTAGTAAAATGGGTGGCATGTGTTTAAATACTGAAACTTGATCAGTACATTCAAGTAATGTACTGTTAGTATGTTATAGGTGTACTTCTATTTAGTCACCAAGTTTGCTTTTCAATCCCTTTATTATGATTTACGGCTTTTAGATTAGGAAGCAATAGCATAGGTAATTAAAAAGGTCAATAACAGTCAGTTGGCTTCCAACTATGAACTACAACCTTCACTTTGAAATTAGCATAGGTTTGATTATATTTGATTTACTTTATATATGTTAACCAAGTTGACATTGTCATCCCTCTTAAAGTAATACTGATACTGTTACATTTCTTTCAAGATATGCTGGAAACTATGCAACACAAATGAGCAACAGTTGCCTGTGAAAGCTCTCTCACAATCAGAATTGTTGTAAAATTTAATAACCATATATAAGCCTTTGCTAGGAGTTTGAGTAATTTTTTTGACACATATGAACAGACAATACATTAACTTCTTCATATTTTATCCAAGTGGCCTTAAATCTGTGGATAACCAATTCCTATTTTAAAATCAAGGGTCAATTAGATACAAGGAGAAATAGAATATTGTGAAGCACAGCAAGTGTCAACTATTTTTACAATCAGTTTAAACGCATGCAATATAGTATAATATATTGTGGGTGCAATTTTATTCAGTCATCAGCTTTGCTTTTCAAAATCAAGGGTCAATTAAATACAAGGGATGTTCAAATAAAATTTTGCAAAGCACAGTAAGTGTCAATTATTTTTACAATCAGTGTAAAGGCATATAACATAACTGTCTTTACTGGACAATGTATACAGGTGAAACTAATTTTATTTTACTCAACGTCTCGCATAGCTAATCTTGAGCCTTGAATCATTAGTGGAGTGGAATATTTTGATCCCAAGCTTAAAGCTCTTAAGTCAAGTCTTGATGTCCAACCTCACCCCGGTTCTTTGAAAATTAATGTCACGGCAAATTCTTTGTCCATACCTCTAGTCCATTGATATGTTATTTATCTTGTAAGCTCAACATGAGGGAGTAGTCACACTTCCAGCGTCGACATAATCTGGACCGGACCAGGTCACATCACGGTCCGGGTCACGGACCAAATCACGAATCGGATAGAAATGTTGCGTGACAGGCTAAGATAAAGTATGCATGATATAATGAAGCGCAGGCCCCACTGGAAGTTTTTTTTGCCTCAAAACCCCATGTAGTCACTTAAACGGCTGTGTCGAGGAGTCTCGTGTAGTGCCACCATGGACGAAGGCAAGCGAGAGGTACGTATCATTTCATTAGTCAATTATTGTTATTATTGTTTTTTTAATATCATGAATATATGCTACTTTTCCTTTATCAATGTCATTTAGCTTACGCGAAAGAATAGGCTGGGTGAGGAGCAAGATTGTTCTAGAAATAAGTACTGAACTGCACGTAAGCGCTTCAAGTAGTCCATGGAAGTGACCACATGGGGTTTTGGGGCAAAAAAACTTCCAGTTGGGCCTACGGTCCGTCATGTCAATAAACTATTTTAGTTTTTTTTACTATTTTTTTTTTAAGTATTATTATTTATAGACGATTTGACTTTTTTTCTTCCTTTTTCTATTCGATCCGTGATCCGATCCGCGATCCAATCCATCATCCGATCCGTCATCCGATCCGTCATCCGTGATCCGATCCGGCCCGATCCAGATTTTATCGACGCCGTCACTCCTCTTCCAGCCCAAGAAAATCAACTGTGCAAATTTTTTTTTTTCAAACTCTAATTTTTCCCAATTATACCCCACCGCTGTTTCCCAATAAAGAAAGTAGCTCGTGGTCTGGTAAGCCATCATATTAACTAGCACACGCAGCAAACGATGTACTGATTTATAATCACGTAAAAAATTCCTGAAAACTTTTGCTGTAAAAGTAAAATACCGGTATATCTTTCTTACCACTAATATCAGCATGACGATTTAGGACTCCAAATTTAAATACAAATTCTTCTTATTTAAGGTAAATTCAACCCACGGTCTTCTGAAAGATATTAGTACTCTATATCTACCTGAATGGCATTTCCCTCGTAGAATGACCGCAGCTCAACTAAAGTTGTCTTATCTATTTTAAGATAGTGTTTTACTTCATCGATGTAACCCATAACCCGCCTCTCGTGATCCGTGATCCGTGACCCGTGACATGCGTTTCAGACCTCCTGTATTCACATCCTGTTTACTTTGCTTAAAATAAAATAACTATATTCGTTATTTAACAAAATTTATTCGACAACTTCACAAGAAAAGTTTCATTTATCTCATCATATTTTTCGTGATTTTTAAATTTTCATCTATTCTTTTTTTTACTGATCAGTATATCTATTTTTATGCGATAATAATTTGATAGTTTTGGATATCCTTCCAAAAGTGGGCGTTGCACGTGGGAAAATGAAGACGAAATAACAGAGCCTGTAAACACAATAACTTAGGACATCATTGAAAAAACACCTGCGCTCATCTGACAAACAGAATGTTATTCTAAAAGGAGCTTACGACCAGTGGCAGGTTTCTTTACAGTTTTCTTTTTTGAAGGGCTCAAAATTTTTGTCCGATTTCCTTGAAAACTAGTCATACGTTTCGAACATTTTTACAAATTGAAAGTCTGAGCCGTGGATGAAATTATGTTGCCAATGATAATCTTCCTCATTAATTCAATTTGACATCTTAAGTCCTGTTTTTAACAGTATGTAAATTTTTTTAGTAGCTATGAAATTCTAATTGTTTTTGGTTTAGGAATTAGGTCAGATTTATCCACAAAAGGCCCTGTTTCACGCATAAAGATTAACTGCTAAATCTCGCTGACATTGAGATTAGCTTTACGCTCCTTGATGCATGAAACGTATATATCTGATTGAGACTCTGAAATAAAAAGGAAGAAAGTGGATTCGTATGGCTTTATTTTAGATTGAACAAAGTAAGGTTATCCGCTGTAGCTTATCTAACTGAAGCTCTTAGCCATTAAAGAATTCTTAAATATTATGTTTTTTTAATCAGTATGTTAGCTAACTTCGAACAGCCCCTCGAACTTAATTTACAATATTTTATTTTTGATTTTCTACGTTCATCTCCTATAAGGAAGTAAACTTCGTTTAAATATTAGCAGGAAAATCTACTAAACGATCGGATGAATATGTTTCCAAAAGCCCTGCCTTTTTACGAGGAATGACTGAGGGACTAGGAAACAAACATCGGAAGTTCTCTGAAATAAGTGCCAGTTTGCCTTCTCCTTTTTCCGCTTTCATCTAGCACGCAGAATTCAGGCAATATAATAATCGAAGGAAGCATTGATTTTCTACGTTGTTTAGTTTTTAGAGCTTCCTCAGTTTAGTTCCGTTTGGTAAGATCCGAACACGAAGATCTTCGTTGTTTTCCCATGAATTCTTTGATGTTTACAGCATTACGACTGTACTTCAACGGTTGACTAAGCGAAATGCCAAACAAACTGCAAAAGTTGCTTTGCTCGGCACTGATGGCGCTTCTTGGTCTTTGCGCTGTAAGTGCTGAGTTTAAATTTCCATAATCCTTGCCTGGGACAACAAGCTCTTTAACGTGCAGTGTAAATCCTCTCTCGCGAGGATTTCCTCGGCTCAGCACACTCAGTCCGACTGTGTTTGTTGTAGAATTTGGAGAAGGTGACGTTTTCAAATTAGCATCTACCACCTTCCCAGTCTCACTTTTGCCATATAATTCATATCTATTTGGTTTCGCATTTTCCGTGGTCATCTGCACTTTGCATCCCGTCGTGTTTTTGTCATCTTTTTCTGAGTTCATTTCGTGATTTCTGTTGAATTTAATTAACGAACAGTCCGAAAAATGAAAGCAGTTTTCCTTCGGTCAATAAAGTCAGGCGACAAGTGAAAGACGAAGCTACAACTTTAAGTTAAAACAAAGAGTAACGGTGATTCAATCCAACGAAGATTCGCTGGCTGTTACAAAGCCTGCGTCACGCAGAATCTCGCACAATAACACTCAAGTTGCTAGAAATTTCCCCGGTGATAAGACAATTACCAGATATCCTGCGTTTCCCTGTTGAGATGACTCCTTTACCCGGTAATTACCTTTCAAATTTAACTCGACTTCAGAAGGACCTCAACTCTGTGGCCACGTTTCATTTTTGTAAACAAATGATCCCGGGAAGCGTATTGTTTACGTTTTTAACTGTGTTCACACAAAGCTGATTTGCTCTGTCAAAGTGATAGTATAATAGAGAAAAAAACCCTTTCTTCACCCTGAGCGCAGCCAACGTGACGTCACAAGAGCAGGTGTAATATAAACGCGCGCCACCCAGTTCCTCATTTTTCGCCGGAACTTTATCTTATTTCAAAAAAGAAAACGAAGGGAACATCCAACACTGTTACATGGATTAAAAACAAAACCAATAGACCTCAAACTCATGTCAACGATTCCATTCAAAATTTAGCTTAAAAATATAAAACCTAGCATCAATTATCATTTCCCCTTTGAATTTTGAACGAGCCCTCTCAGTCATTAGTCAATTCCTACGCATGGGCACACATCTAAATTCCGGATAACTTTAAGCAAAGAAGAATAAATTGCAAAAAATTGAAAAAAGGAGGAACCGTACCTATAAGTTTAAACGCAGATCTGAGTTTCTTCGCGTCTGCGCTTCTACACAAGATAAGCTAATCATACTCACATTTTGATAGGTTCTTGAATTTGTGTTCCCTGCTCATTCAGTCAAGAAACTATGATGTCGAATATATTAAACAGATAATACTATAAAATTACATTAATTCCCTTGCTTAAAATGAACATTATCAGCCGCCTCGGTCATAGGAATTTGGACAGGGTTCCCACTGTACATATCTTGACTAAATGTATAAAATTTCAGGTATGTTCACGTTCTAAGCACTTGGTTCATCAAGGAACTGCCTTCCTGTCCGATCTTTTGCAAAGACTTTGCTAGGTGTCAGCCTAATACAGCTATTCACAAACAATTTCGATCTAATCTGAAATTAGGTGTGTATAAAAATGTATCTACATGTATCCATACTTTGACAAGAGGGTGGGATTCATTACCTCTAACAAAACTGTGCCCTAGTTAGACTTCCCCACTAACTCATGAAGATGAAGTTTTAAGTTAAAAAAAAAAATTTTAATGCAAATCAATCCCACATCTGCTCCAAGGAATCCCAAAGCAAAACATAGTAAATACAAAAAAATAATAATAAAGAGTTG